TACTATGATTTGTTTCCTTTCCTGGAGTTAACAGTACCTCCTCTCAATATGGTCAAGTATATCAGTTTCATTTTTGTCCTAGAGACTGCATCCTCCTCTCTGGGTGCACCGGTGGCTCTCTGAGCCTGTCACACAGTTGTTGGGCTATGGTCACCCTCTGCAACAGCCTTTTTAGTGAGGAGCCCCCCCCCCCCCCCCCCTTTTTTTTTTTTTTTTTTTTTATTTTCACAGCCTCAAGTCCTAGGGGAGGATTTCCAAGAGATCTTTGTGAATGGCCCCAACGCAGCCTTTTGGAGCCAGATGGCTGGGAGGATTGTTCTAGAATCAGCTGGGGTAGAGAGGAGGTGACTTTGGAGACGCAGGCTTGGCATCTGGGGGTGTTGGCCGTGGGAGCACAGGCCTCGGCAGGGACAGGAGGAGACTGAGGACGAGTTGCAGATGGGGAAGGAGCACCCTGCCGTGCCCTCGCATCTGTGTCCAAGGCTGCTGCAAGGCCTGGCTGAAGGGGGGCAGGAGCGGGGTTCTAATCAGCACTCCCTAGATGCAGATTTGGTGAATCAACACTTCATCCTGTGACTCAACAAACATTCCCCAAGCCCCAACTCTGTGCTGGGCAATATGCTAGCGTGCTCCAAGGCTGCGGGAGCCCAGAGAAGGCGCATCTTGCCCAGACCTGGCGGCTGGGAAGATTTCTTAGAAGCGGCGTATTGGCCAGGCCAAGGGGCTGAGGAGGGGCGTTACTTGAATTGGGATGAGCGCATGCAGCGGCCCCCGAGTCCCCTGTCAACAACCCCAAACCCTAGAGCGGCTTTCCCAGCCCTGGGGAGTCCATGCAGTGTGCACTTTGGTGTCTTCATTGCCCCGAGCTTGCTGTGAACAAGCTCTTTGTCCCAGAGCCCGTAGGCGTTCTGTACCCTGGCGCCTGACAACCAGGCGTCTTCCCACCCCTAGGCCGAACACACATGTATTTCCAACAGGACCACTTGGATTTGTCGTAAAAGCCAGACTGAGCGTCAAGCCCCCGCGTCTGTTCCCAGCCCCAGCCCAGCTCAGTGGGTATCTCTGTGTGCCTCAGTCTTCCCTTCCTGTGAACTGGCTGTCCCCCGAGTATCCTTCCAGCTCCCAGAGCCTCTGTTTCCCTGCCCCAGGATCGCAGGAGGACCACTGCCACCCAGTCATTTGGTTGCTCAGATGTGTAAATGCCAACCACGGTGCTCCCAGGGCAGGGCCAGGCACCAGGCACCAGGCACCATGCTTGGCACTGGGGCCGCAGTGGTGGGTGCCACAGGCGCAGTCCCTGCCCACTCTGCACGCACCATCCCGGCAGGAGAAGAGGTTAATCAGACCAGACCAGCCCCAAAGAACCACGGAGTACAGTCAGAGAGGAAAGGCTGAAGGGAAGCCCAAAGCCCTGTGAGCAGAGACGACAAGAGTCTCAGCCCGTGGCGAGAGATGAACCTTAAACATGCCAAGATCATCGGGAGTCATTGAGATAAAGCTCCAAGGCGCAAGGCACCCACCGCCTGGGGAGGAGACCCAGATCACAGACCCTGGTTGCGGGAGCCCCACAGGCCTGTGGACTCCCAGGATGAGGCTGCTCTCCCAGAGTGGCATTGGCAGCTTCTCCGATGGCCACCCCCTTAGCTCAGAGAAGAGCCCCTGTGTTGAGGGGAGATGACACCCACACACTCCAGGCACATCTCCGATAGCCATCCGCGGCATGGGTGCTACACTTTCGCTCTCCATCTGCCGTTAAATCATTTGACAGCACTTCCTTTGCATTTAAGGGGTTTTTTGGCTAAAAGACCAATAAAAGCCCCTAGGACAG